TTCTTCACCAGATGCTTCTGCCATCTGAGTTGGGGTAAGGCAGAATGGCAAAAGGCCCATTCATGCTGGCTATTTTTAATTGCTGATCTTGTTTATTTATGCATGTGTGCATGTATGTCTGCATCACTTTGTTTGACGTTAGTGGTCTTAGAAACAGTTGGTGGAAGGCTGTTGCATTCATCTACTAAGTACACAAACACTTGAGGGTTCCATCAATAAGGAAATATATTTTGGATTATGGAAGCCAAAACAGTAAATCATATAAAATGATTATCCTTTACTTACTCTTTTGGATATTAACCCATGACTCACAATACATTGTTTTAATTCTATTTTCCTTCCTTCCTTTTTTTTTTGCATTGACTAAACTTTTGTCTTTAATTTTTATGTTCTCATGTTGTGAGAGTCATAGCAACATAGAGGAGCAAACTTTCTAATAAGGAACCTTATGGCACTCATTTTGACAAAATATTTTCTAAAAATATTCTTGGGGATATTTTAGATCAGCATTTTTCAACCTTGGCAACTTTAAGATGTATGGACTTCAACTCCCGGAATTCCCCAACCAACTTCAGAAATTCATTTTCTAACCCTTGATTATAACTGCATACTTTTGGTAGCTGAGGCCACAGACTGAGGTCTCAGCATGTTTCAGTATGTTTATGTAAGACTTTAATATCTTTCAAAAATTCATCAACTTTTTTAAAACATAGGAGAGATTTTGTTGAGCAGAATAGCAATGCAGTGACAAATATCCTCAAAAACATCATAGCAGGCTGGCTGGCTGGAACATAGAACAGCAATATTTTAGATATATACAAAGTCTTTCTGTCTGTTGTCTATATAATATTGGCAGAGAATGTTGGGAACTTAGACATCTGCCATGGAAAGGTCAAAATCTGGCATTTTACAGCAGCATCTGTCTGGACACTGAAAACAGATTGTTACTGTACTTGTTTGGATTTAGCAAGGCTTCTGCCTTGTTCACACTAATTTCTGTATTAATAAAAATGTTTATATAAGTACCATATTGTCCAATATGCTTATCTATTTTCCACGAAGGGGATACTATGTTTTTATGAAGGCTAGAATAATTCAAATCTTGCAACCATTTTTTTTTTAAGTAAATAGATTTAGGCTGTCATTTTTTATTCATACTGTGCCATCAGCATGTAGCAACTGCTGTAGCCAACATGAAGGTTGCAACAGTAAATTTTATTATAGACTGGTAATTTAATTGAACAGATTTACATTTGAATAAATGGCCTCCTCTGGCATGCTGCATGGGATTAAATTTTTTAAAGTATACATTAAAAACAAACCTGAGACATAGCAACTCAATCCTGTTCTACAATATAACCAAAAAAAGGGTTATAGCAAGAATAAATATGCATGATTCTCCCTTCTACTGTATTGTGTAAGCACCCCAAATTAGCAGAAATAAGCAGTATATTTTCCATTTTAAAAAAGTACAAAATTTCATTGTACAGTATTTGCTTCTTAAATATAATTTAATGACTCCCCTTATTTCACAAAACTTAAAACATTTAATTTACTCAGCATTGAGACTTAAGACTGAGTAAAGATTAAGGGTGACATCTCCTGTTAGACCCTGAAACTGGCTCTTAATATGTTGTTTGGGTCAAATCTGTGAAACTTAAAAGATAGTTAAGAAATCTCGGATGATAGGACAGATATCTCAGTACCTTGTTTTTTGAAGGAATTTCTAGCATTGCTAATGAGCATCAACTCATTAATGACCAAATATAAAGCTATTTCTTTGAGTAATTAAGCTGTACATTGATTCATATTATAATGAGTTTCTTCCACTTCTCTGGAAATTGGATGAAACAGTTGTCTTCCTGAAGTTCAGTTAAGAAAAAAACAATTCATGGGGAAGTTTTTGAATCAACCATTTAACAAACAAAAAAGTCAAATAAAGGTCAATTCCTGCACATGTCACATATTCTCTAGGGCAGAAATGTCCTCAAATTTCATGCTGCCATCTCAAGACTAGACAATTAGAACTGCTGAACCCTCTATAGGGAATGGATTATACATATCCGAGATAGCATACTTTAAAGTTGCATTCCAAATAAGCCTAAAATGGAATAAAACAAGAATTATTTGTTTTTTGGGATCTCTATCAGTCTAAAAATGGATATTTGCAGAAGCATACTCTACCAGGCGCCAGCACCTACATAAAGAAGGAAAGAAGAAATTCTCTCAAGGAGCACAGGGGATAATTTTTGCCACAGTTATCTTATTCTAACTTCATTTCATTTTGTTTTCCAAAGAAGAAAGAGATTAAACAGTGAGTGTTTAACCTTCAATATTTCCCTAGCTTAAATTGCTATTTGAAGCTGTCATTAGCCATGCTGGGGAAAAAGAAAGGCATGGTTTTGCACTTATATTTTCAACTGTGAAATGTCGCTTTGTTGTTTGATGATGGGAGATCCCTAATCCCTAGTTTGGGGATGAATTTTCTGCAACAATACTTATCTTGAAGGTAGAGGACAAAAAGCCTTCTATTTACAAACATCCAAAACAAAAGAGGAACAGCAGCATAAATAGCTTGAGGAAAAGATCAGCATTGATCACTTTCACAAATCTTGGTTACTGAGATGACAGGAAAAACAAAAACCTATTATATGAAGGGAAAAAATGGCAATATGACTCAATCTGCACAATGCCTTTTTCCTTCAGCTGGAGAAATAGATTTAGCTGTAACAACTGACTGAAAAAGGCTCATATTCTGGATGTTGTTCACGTTTGAGTTCATGTTAAGCTTCCATTAAATGTTTTTGTGTTATAGTTTCATAACATGAAACAAATTAGGGTTTCCATATGGATGAAGCCCTATCCAGATCTAAATAAAAAAAAGCCAAATCCTGAATCTCTTAATGAGGCAGAGTCCCCACTGAATTAGATAGGAATTTTTCCAGCATAAAACTAAAGGCAGCAGGATTTGGCTCACAGGACCATCACGCCTGCCAAAGCAACCATACACAGAATGAGGTTTATTCTAAGTAAGTATAATCCAATAAGAGTATGTCTGAAAGGATGTGATAGACCTAATTTTTCTATTATTGCTCGGTTACTCCATGTTTGTTTATTATATAGATTTGTAAGGCCACCCGACTAAGCATTGACTCTGCAAGCTGACTTGTGAAAAACAGTCATGGGAAAATTGGTTTCTGAAGAAAACAAAATGTGAACTTCAGTTTCTGAATGGAAAATCAAACCTTTTTTTCAATGCAAACTGCCTTTTAGATAGCTGCTTAATCTACAGCTTGGCCTTTTGGGGTATCTCAATATGGATTTCTCTGAATAAGACTGGAAATTTGTGACACTATATATAATTGCATCATATTTGTCTGAACCAGGCATACATGAACATATAAAACTGTATTCATCTTAAGGAATACAACCTAAATCTCCAGTATTATATTTTTTTAATCTAAACTGCTATTCTATAGATACATCCAGCAATAAGTTTTATTCAATTCAAATGCATTTCTAAATAAACCTGTAAATGACCAAATAGTTAAAATCTGTAGTTCTCATTTTTCTTGCTTTCACCCAGTGCTTTTTTTGTAACAAAAAAAAAAAAAAAAAGCTGCCAGAACTCACACATGTTATACAACCCGCCTTGCCTACCCTACAAGGTTCCATCCAAAAAAGGTGCCGGAACTCCGTTCTGGGCATTCTATGACAAAAAAAAAGTCCTGCTTTCATCAATACAAAAGCTTGCTTTTGTTTTATAGAGTAAGGGATGTTGAACTGATAGATCAGAAATCAATACTAAGTTACAATCCAATGGAAGATGAGCTGCAATAATGGCATTCTAATATATGACAAAGAAGCAAATAATCAAAATCATGTCTGTGAAAAAAATGGGTCCCAATCTAAGAGGCTGAAGGCTGCTGCTGATGGAAGATAGATGCATTACAAACAACTTTAGATTTCAAAAACCTCAGGCTGACTATCTGCTGTGGGAGATGTGTAGATCACATGATATCTAAAAGGATACACATTTTTTACAGTGTCTACTTATTCAATATTTTTGTATTTGAAGGGCAAGCACAATCAAAATATGTCTTAAAATTATAGGAATTGTGTATTGAACTCTTAATAGCTATAACAAGTTGGGTTTCAAAGAGGCAGAGGTCAAATTATCAGTATTCGCTGGATTATGGAAAAACAAGGAGTTCCAGAAAAACATCTACTTCTGCTTCATTGAATATGCTAAAGCCTTTGATTGTGTACTGTAGATCACAATAAACTGTGGCAAGTTCTTAAAGAGATGGGAGTAACACACCACCTTACCTGTCTCCTGAAAAACCTGTATGCAGGTCAAGAAGCAACAGTTAGAACCAGACATGGAATAATTGATTGGTTTAAAATAAGGAAAGGAATACAACAAGGCTGTGTATTGGAAAAGATTGAAGGCAAAAGAAGAAGGGGACGAGAGAGGATGAGATAGTTAGATGGTATCATTGACACAATGAACATGAATTTGGGCAGACTCAGGGAGACAATGAAGGACAGGGAGGCCTGGTTTACCATGGGGATCACAAAGAGTCAGACACAACTCAGCAACTGAACAACAACAAATCGTCTATCTGCTGTTCTGATTTCGCTAACTTCAGCAGTCATAGGTTGTAGACTACTGTAACTGCCTGAGTTTTTAAGAACATTATATACATTGTATGAAACAATTTCCGTCAGACATTTATTTTATAGTTGTTTATATTGGATAACATCATTTGTAAATGTACAAGTATCAAAGTATAATGTTTAGCTGATGTATCAGAAAAAAATACAGTTTGCTTACATTAAACTGAAGAAATTTCTCTCGCTCTCTATGGAGCAATTATATTGTTTTATTTTTAAAAACAGTCATGACATCTGAAAATGATACATTGCATTTCTCAGATTAAATTATAGTTCTAACAGTGTTTATGAACAATTCTATAAAAGGGCTTTATCAGCCTTACCTTCTTTCAGCATTCCAACTTTTAGACACTTCATAAAACGACAAGCTTGACAGGATTTGCGTCTGCGCTTTGTGATTTCACATTCATTTGTTGCTGGACAGCTATATTCTATGTTACCTAAAATATTTAAAGTACATAAAAAGAAGAATCCATTAAGAAACATCAGCTATAATTTTGTTAATCAATTAAAAGAAATACAAATGTAACTGAAAGTCTAAACAAAAAAACATGAAATTGAAAATGTTAGCAGCTGGGCTTAATTTTTTTTACAGACTTTTTTTGTTTTTGCAAACAGTGTCTTATGCCAAAGAAAACTAGAAAAGCAGAATATTAAAACCACATGGCCTGATACAGTTTAAAAGTTTAAGTGGGCTATTGCTTAGCATAGTTTGGACAAAACTCAGCAGTACTTTTTCGTGCGGCTGCTGATAAAAACAGGATCGCCAACATGATTGCCAATGTCCGATAATGATATGGCAGAAGAAGAAGAAGAAGAAGAAGAAGAAGAAGAAGAAGAAGAAGAAGAAGAAGAAGAAGAAGAAGAAGAAGAAGAAGAAGAAGAAGAAGAAGAAGAAGAAGAAGAAGAAGAAGAAGAAGAAGAAGAAGAAGAAGAAGAAGATTGCTTAGCATATAGCATTTCCCCACAAAATAATAAATGCAGAGTATTTTAATCACTTTGCTATTGTTTGCTTCTCAAGGAAAACTATCTGTTTCTGCAACCTTTTATTCCCCAAGGTTTTGAGGTGAATGTAGCACCCAAATTTGTTTCAGCTAGAATTCATGGTGGAATTCTTAAAAAGAAATTCACTAAAGCTTCGGGGATTTAGAAAATGAAGCACTGGGCTGGAAAAAGTAAATATAAAATCATCAAAGGTAGATGGAGAACTTTTTTTCTATTTTTAGATTTCAGAATCAAACACTGGAAGAAGAATTTCATTCAACTTATGGAATTCACTGCTATCAAATAAAACAGTGATAATTGCTTAATATGTTTAAAAAGACCTAGATGCATTCAGGAAGAAGAGAGTTATCAATGTATTTTTATTAAGATACATTTTGTTAAGAAAGGGGAATTGGGTTTGAGAGGCAAAATACAGTTGAATATCACCTCCTTTTCTTGATTTTATAATCTGTTTAAGGAATTCCTGAAAGCACCTGATTTTATGAAGTAGGAAAAAATTTCTGCACTTGGTAGAGCTTCAGTCTGCTTTAAGATAGGATTTCTTGTGTTCTGTTTCAATATAATATGCTAATTCAAGCAGGGGAATATTATTTGTTAAGATGAATTTAGTTGTTTGACTAATATATGTGTTCTTACTGACTTGGACATTCACAATTACATTTAGTAGGTGCAATCTGTGGTGCTAGTACTTCATGGAAAGAATAAAAATGCTTTTCCCCCCCTCCGTGCTTCCCCATTTGCTTTAGAAGTATTTTGTTACTTTCTAACCCTTTCCCCTTGTGATTAAGTGCATTAGTATCTTAATGAAAATGCATTCTCTTTATTGCTCTCTTGGGAAGTGGGAGGTCATCACACCAAATGCATAAATTGCCATCAGAGACAGCCCAGGCATAATTGCAATTTTGCTGCTCCATGTTTGCTGCACTCTGAGCCTCAAGACGTCCCCTGAAACATGTAGAGATTCTAGTAATTAGCATAGAGTATGCCTGGGACCAGAGCATTGATGAAATATTTCAGAGTTAATCACACTTTGTAAACACTGATTTATATTGACTACCTTTCTCCAGACTGATGTCTCCTCATTAAATATCACATTAGCAGGTTGCAGGATTGTACAGATTCAAATTCTCCACAACTGCTAACTTAACAAGGAGTTATACTATGCACAACATTATGCCTGTCTGTTATAACATATAAATGATGAACTAGAGTGAAAACAATGCATTAAGAGGGAATTCAGTATCTACTGAAAGAACACAATTAAAAAATGTGCATTGGTGGCATCAAAGGCTTAGACTGAACTATATAGTCCCACAGATGCCCCGACCTCCTATTTTAAAAGAAATATAAATTACAGCAATTCTATCAAACACTAGAAATTAAAACAAAATGTACTCTTAAAAACACCTACATAAAATTTAATTCCATTAAATCTAATAGATACACCTAAGTGTGTATTTATTAAATATAGCAACATTGATTTAAAATATACCATAATGTTTTTGTTTTAGAAACAAATGGCAGAATACAATGCAGTCTGCCCTTTTTCTGCTTTGATAGGTAGACAGGCAGACAGGCAGACAGGCAGACAGATAGAAGTGCAGGCAGTCCTTTGGTAGGGATAGTACTGCTTTTGATGTTTGCCTAAAGTAAATTTAAGTTGAAATGTGTTACTTTGATTTTTGTAGTGAGGATTAGATGTGATATTTACATGTATACTTATCATCATCTCCATCTCTACTATAATCATGGTGGCTGTTGGTCCATCCACAAAATAAGTTAAAAACAAAACCTGACAGAAATTACAACATCTGAAGAAGCCATTTAAGCTATTAAGCCCAAATCACTATTCAATATAGGAATCCAAATTAGAACATCCCAGACACATGGCTTTCTAATTTGGTTCATCATAATCTACCACAGGATAACTGAGTTCGCCATAGAATTACCATTAAAAAGAAGGTATAGTATAGGGGGTACCTTGCTCAATAGTAGTAACTGTGAGAGGGATCTTTGAGTCCTAGTGGACAATCACTTAAATATGAGCCAGCAGTGTGCTGCAGCTGCCAAAAAAGCCAACACAGTGCTGGGCTGCATTAACAGAGGGATAGAATCAAGATCTCGTGAAGTATTAATACCACTTTACAATGCTTTGTGGTAAGGCCACACTTGGAATACTGCATCCAGTTTTGGTCACCACGATGTAAAAAAGATGCCGAGACTCTAGAAAGAGTACAGAGAAGGGCAACAAAGATGATTAGGGGACTGGAGGCTAAAACATATAAGGAACGGTTGCTGGAATTGGGGGTATGTCTAGTTTAACGAAGAGAAGGACGAGGGGGGACATGATAGCAGTGTTCCAATATCTCAGGGGCTGCCACAAAGAAGAGAGAGTCAAACTATTCTCCAAGGCCTGAAGGCAGGACAAGAAGCAACGGATCGAAACTGATCAAGGAGAGAAGCAACTTAGAACTAAGGAGAAACTTGCTGACAGTTAGAACAATTAACCAATGGAACAACCTGCCTCCAGAAGCGGTGAATGCTCCAACACTGGAAGTTTTTAAGAAGAGACTGGACAGCCATTTGTCCAAAATGGTGTAGGGTTCCTGCCTGAGCAGGGGGTTCGAATTGATGACCTCCCAGGTCCCTTCCAACTTATTGTTGTTGTTGTTATTATTATTATTATTAAGTGTTTTTAATGACATTAAATTTAAAATCTCTCTATATCCTAAATCCATGGGGCATGATGCTCAGTGTTTAAAAATGCTGAGCTTATCAACAGGAAAGTTGACAGCTTGGGTTTGAGATCTAAGCACTGTGCAATGAGTTGAGCTCTCATTACTTGCTCCAGTTCTTGCCAACCTAATAATTAGAATGCATGCAAATGTGAGCAAATAAATAAGTACCACTTTGATTGGAAAGTAACCGTGTTCTATGCACCTTGGCATATAGCCATGCTGGTCATGTGACTACAGAAGTGTCTTTGGACAATGCTGGACCCTCGGCTAAGAAACGGAGATGAGCACCATACCCTAGAGTCAGACAAAATTGGACAGGGAAAACTTTTACCTCTGTATCCTAAACCCATCATTCCAAATCCTGTACTCTTAGCTAAGAGAAAACAGGTGTTGATCTTCTTTAGGTGACATTCTTTCAGATGTTTAAAGAGTACTATTATACCCCTCCTGGTCACCTTCTTTTAATTTTATACCCAATTCCTTCAATCTCTCTTCACATGGTTTGTTGTAGGAAGCTTGTAATTTCTTAAGTCATCTTTGTAAATCATCATTCAACCTCTTCTAATTTCTATGAATCCTTAAAGTATAATATTCAAACCTGAAAATCATACTCAAGGCGGGACATAAAGCTGAAATGAACAGAATATAGTAGATGGGTTAACATATTGAGCAGAATAGTGTAGTATTCAGATAGAAAGTGGACAAAGCCCTTTAGATCTTGTGTGTGGGGGTTTCTCATTGTTCTTTTCAATAGCTTCTTAAAGAATGAATCAATAAATCATAGTTTTCTATAGCTGTTAATATACTGTGTGTATATATATATATATATATTATTTGAGGGGGAAACTATTAATGATACAAATTGGAATGTGCCTACTTTTTCTAGTAGTTGGAAAAAAATGTTCTGCAAGGAATAATAACATATCAGCCTGGCAGCAAAGGCTTTTAATTCAGGAAACAAGAATGACAGTACAGTTTATAATACCTTATAAAACTTATTTAAAATTCTTATTTAGTTTGCAGGCAATATAGTTTTCTCATTTACAAGCTTACATCCAGCTGACTGAAAGAATAACAAACTCTATGTAACTGAAGTGCAAGGGGATAATTTGTAATTTTTGTTTTATACTTTGGCAACAAAAATCTCATAACCTAAACATAAGTCTGATGTTTTAAAATATTCTTGCTTCATGCAGACAGTAAAATTCATGTCAGCCTGAAATTTCTATACTTAACCCACATAATATAGGAATGTTTAGAAGTATTTTTGTGGGTTTTCTAGCAATGTTTCTAAACATACAGATTTAAAATAATACAACCAGAGGTAAGTTGGAAGAAACAAATGAAAGGATGTTAAAAATGTCTTTGTAGCGGGGACTGTTTGAGAGTTGGGGCCAGGGGTCAGCCTGGGGAATGGCCAGAAACGGATGGACTGTTGCCCCCAGATATTGTAGAGTTAGGAGAATGGCTGGAGGCGGAACCGGTTATTTCACGGGGTCAGCAATCGCCAGTGTCAGAAGCAGAGTTGCCAGTCCCGGGTACCTCTGAGGGTGGAGGTCCACCAGAGGATGGTGCCCATAGTATTGTTGAACCTAAGGTGCAGAGACTGAGGCGGGTGATACGCCCGGTGAAGAGGTTAACATATGATGCCCTAGGACATGTTGTAGAAAAGGAGTGATGCCTACCCCTGGTGCTGT